ACTGTCCTTCAGACTTTATGGGGGCTGGCTGTGCCCAGTGAGAGTAAAAAATGCCTGATCTTTGGTATTAGGGGGAGAAATGGCACCAGTGGGAGGAATAGTGCCCCATTGTTGGTGCCAGTGGAAGGAAATATGCCCCATTGTTGGTGTTAGCGGAAAGAATAGTGCCCCATTGTTGGTGGTAGTAATTTTATCCCATTGCTGGTGTCAGTGCCAGGAGTAATGCATCAAGGGCAGATAAAGGCAAGCAAAAGGTTGCTATTTGGAGACCACTGTCTAAGAGGTCCACATTCTTTTTTGATCAATGACTCTTTATTTCTATGGCTTCATATGACTAAAAAAATTTATATTAGAAGCAATTGATGCAAAAATGTAAAAAAATTCCTGAAGTTTCACAAACTTGTTCTCATGACTATAGATAATGCTGTTGTGTTGTCCTTATCCACAAAGCTCCAATTGTCTGTGATACTTAATAGACAATAATTTCCATTTATCATCAGCCATTAGACAGTTTTTTTTTTTTTTTCTTTTTTATGAGTCACTTTTATTTTGCTTGCAGAAACTGAGTCATTCACCATAAGGCCTGGCTTTCATCTAAATTTTTTTTTGCTAAGTTTAAAATGACTTTGATTTTTTTACTAACCTAGTTATCATCAGTCTGTTTCTAAATATGTTTGAAAAGTTAAGCACTGACGTGATTTATTATGAGCAACCTTGAGTCATATGTTGTGCCCTAATTAGGAAATGGTTAAAATTCGTATAGTTCATCAAATGTGACAACCTCAGTAAAAGCCAATATTAGTGATTCTCCCCTCTAGGTAGATGAAGAGCAATAAAAATTTGACATCTCATGCTATAAAAGAATTTTGCTAGCAGCACTAGGGTCATCGGTTTGAATCCCATCCAGGGCACTACCTGCCTGGATTTTGCATGCTCTCCCTGTGCCTGCATAGGTTTCCTCGGGTACTCTGGTTTACTCCCACACTCCAAAGACATACTAGGCTAATTTGCTCCTGTTTGTATTGGCCCTAGTATGTGTATGTATGAATGTGAGTTAGGAATCTTAGACTGTAAGCTCCTTGTGGCCAGGGATTGATATGAATGTACGATATATATGTAAAATGCTGTGTAAATTGATGGTGCTCTATGAGTACCTGTAATAAGTAAAAGTAATGAAAATAAATAATATTTTTCTATGATTTTTATACAATATTTGCAGTATTTCAAAATGTAAAAGAATACAATTGATAAAGACTTTAGTTTTGCATTTAACATTGCGTGTCCGCATTAAATCCTTTGCTTTGTTTGATCTAAGGTGTAGATCTGTGCATATCAAGCTGTGATGATTCTGTATGCTAGAGATGAAAACAGAATGAAACACATGTGTTACAGAACAAATGGTTCAATATAGAGGCTTGATTTACTGAGTACCACAGCATGCTGCTTTCATGGTTATTAACTTTCACAGAGTAATTACAGAAAATCTCTAAAGTTGTGTGAAATGAGAGCAGAAGCTTTATTAGGTCCTGCTCTCCTATTGTTTCTAACTAGGCAATGAATGGCTCTGTTGTTGTCAAACTTCATTTGTGACAAGGCAGAGGTTGTAAGATGAGAAAAGCATCATGCTCCAGCAGGCACACCAGGGGAAGGAAATTAAACTTTGTTGCCCCCAAATAAAAAGCTCTTTTTAAGCATGTGTTAGCCAAATCCTCTTAAAATTAGCTGTTGCCAATGCTTTTTCACTATGTTTCAGAATTGTATTAGAGACCTCAAAGAGATGTTAAGACATTTAAACCTAGGGTTTATCTTTTTCTTTAAGCAGGCATATTTGTTTCCTGATCCAACAGTCATGCAATGGCTTTAGCTTGTCATCCAGAGTTACTGACTATTGCATTTATTTAAAGTGCTTTTAAAGCTTTACTTTTTAAATATATATCATCTGCTAAGATTTAGACTTGATTTACAGGCTGCCCCTTGTTTAAAAGTTTTTCTTTCCTACTGCTTCAGTGCTTGTGCTGTATTCTTTTTTCAGGGTGGCTCCTTTCCCTTGAAGGGCCCTATGGAGTCATCCTTGACTGTGCACTCCTGGCTAAGAGTGATGAATGGATATGTGCAAGTCAATTTCCTGCTCCCCTGATTGGCTGCCAGTCCCCTGTCTGTTCAGTGTGACATAGTAATGCATGCCCTCGCCCAAACAGAATTTTGTGGAAGCTGCACTGAGGCAGTTGGAACCAGTGTCAGTGAATAGGTACTATGGTAAGTGTTTGTGCCACATGCAATGTATATTAAGTAGTGAGGAATGTTTACTACACTGCTTAGCATGCATGGATTAAAAAAAGAGGAATGTTTAATGCTCCTTTAATAAGCTAAAAATAAAACTACTATAGAGCTCATGGCAAAATCATAATGCTGAGATTACCAGCAACAATAAATTAGACCTTTATTAGTTAACCAATTAACAATTTTCAAATACTAGCTCTTCCTGCGTGCCTGCCAAATGGGTTTTAGTTGAAACACTGCAATACTTTTTGACTGCACACACCAGCACTTGTATATTCTTTTGTTTTAGTAACATAGGGGTTGATTTACTAAAGGCAAAAAGACTGTTCACTTTTCAAGGTAAACAGCCTATTTGCCTTTAGTAAATCAACCCCAAGGTCTTTGAAAGTTTTTTTGTGCATGTGCCTGAAACCTTTCCTTTCAAGTTTGGGGTTGCTGTGACAAACGTGGTGCCTGACCCCTGCCCTTCTCACCAACTTGTGACAAAGGACCAGCCAATCTCACACAGACGCGTAACAATGCATAACCCTTTAAACACCAAACAGATAGCTTTGGGCCTATCAACCCTTCATAATATTAGCAAGAACAAATATGAACATTAAACGTCCTACACACAGTCACCACAGACAAGAATATTCAGAGATTTATCATCTACAGCAGCACTCTTCAAGAGACATGGATTCTCTAGTTTGCATTAAAAGCTTTACTGACAGTTTAACACTTTTCAAAATAGGTTTATTAATGAAAAGATCAAAATAGTGCAAATAAAATATTTACAGAAAAAAGGTGTTACAAAGAAATAAAGAACGCATAAAGCAACAGATAATTAAAAGGGAGTTGAAAATGAATAACACTTGCAAAAGTCCTTGGTTTAGCAGAGTCCAATTGTCCAAGCAAAAAAGTTGCAGTGGTTATCTCAAGTCCAGTCAGGTGTTCTTTGATTGATGTTAAAATGAGAGCTTGACAACAGGTCCTGCCATTCCCTTTTTCTGTGGTATCAAAGGGGTGTTGACCGAGACCATCTGACCAATCATCTAGTTTAAGGGATGGTGCTGGCAGGTCACCACGTTTGACCAAGTCCCAAATACGGTTTTAATACTAATATTAAATATATTCCACTGTGTACAGATTGCATTCTGGAAACTGGTAGATTATTGTTCAGCATTATATTTCATGTCCAGGGATATCAAACACATAGTATTTCGGATGGGTCTGTCACCCAGGAGATAGGAGACTGCTTTCTCCCCTTTCGTATGTGCTAGCTTAGTCATGTATGACCTTGATTTGTTCGGTATGACATTCTCCATTCAAATATATACTTAATATTAACCGCTTCCACGCCACCCTATAGCAGGAATACTGCCACAGGGTGACACGGGTGCGCAAAATCACTTGTATATATACGCGATTTTGCAGTTCAAGGTAGGGGGCTCACGCACAGCTCATCATTTGTGACCTTGGCTGTCAGTCACTGGGTTCTGGCCAGTGATTTCCTGTGGGCACCCGACGATCTCTGAGGATTTCCGACGGGGGAGAGACCTGTATGTAAACAATACAGATTTCTCCCCTGTCAGCTCCTGCGCGCTGCTTTCTGTGTCTATGGCCATACAAAACAGTGTGTTTACAGTGAAACAAACACTCAGCACACATGGTAAAACAGCGCACAGTTAACCCTTTGATTGCCCCAGATGTTAACCCCTTCCTGTTCAGTGCCATTAGTACAGTGTCAGTGCTTTTTATTAGCACTGATCACTGTATTGGTGTCACTGGGGATGTCAGTTACACCAAATCAGTTCCCCCCAATGTCTGCATGCCCGCCGCAGTCCCGCTATAAGTCACTGATCGCTGCCATTACTAGTAAAAAAAAAAAATTAAAACATTTCAGTATATATAAAGCCATTTGTAAATGCTATAACTTTCATGTAAACCAATTAATTTACACGTATTGGGATTTTTTTTAGCAAAGACATATAGCAGAATACATTTTAGCCTAAATTTATGATGAAATTAGATTTTTAAAATGTTTAAAAATTTTTTTTTACTGGACGTTTAATAGCAAAAAGTAAAAAAATATTGTTTTTTTCTCAAAATTGTCGGCCTTTTTTTTTATAGAGCACAAAATAAAAACCGCATAGGCGATCAAATACCACTAAAAGAAAGTGCTATTTGTGGGGGAAAAAAGGACGTAAATTTCATTTGGTTGCAGTGCTGCACGACCGCACAATTTTCAGTTAATGTAACACAGTACCATATCGCAAAAATGACCTGGTCAGGAAAGGGGGGGGTAAATCCTCTGGAGAGCAAGTGGTCTTGGTCCTGTTGGATTTTATGAATTTTGTGTGGAGTTTATTAACCTCCCTAGCGGTATGATTATTTCAGATTTTTGGTGCTGAAAGCGGTACCATTATTTTGCATGGAAATATGTCGTTTTTTTATTGTAGGCTGCAATTTTTAGGAATAACTCACTGAAATCTGTCCGAACAAGAGTCTATTAAACATCCCGGGTATGATAAAATTTGAAACACCAAATCATAAATTATAATTTAATAAATAATCATAAAAAAATAATAATATAATAATAATACATTTAATTCAATAACATAATCAAACCAAAAACACTGAAATTTGAAACAGAGCGCCAAGTTCGCACATCGCTGAGCAAAGTCGCAAAATCGTTTTCAGTGTCTGATGACGAATTTCCCCCCACGAATCATTATCACTCAATTCTGCAAGTGGTTCTGATTTACTATCGCTGTTCTCTAGCTGATCTAAACCCGCTTTGACCTAAAGGGACGCTTTTTGGACGCCATGGACTTTTCTCAGTTTCCAGGCAGAAAGAACAGACAAAATGCAGGCAGGGCACAGGACAAAGCACTAGGGACAAAATGTACGTGAAATGGGTTGAAACAGCAATGTTTTACTATGTAAAAGTTTTTTGGAAAAAAATGACATTTTTTAATATTTTAAAATTTCCCGCTGCCGGTGGCGCCTGTACGTCCCGACGTCACAGGGACCGGAACACAGAAGCCGGATGCCGGCATTGGCCGAAGGAAATGGCCGGGGACGCTGCAGGGGACACATCGTGGGAGCGCAGGACAAGGTAAGCTCTTCAGGGACTCCCTATGCAGCGCCGCATATATATATATATATATATATATATATATATATATATATATATATATACACACACACTCACACAGTAATGTGCAAAAGGTCTTGGCAGGTTTTGAAAATGCTGTATATATTAAGAAATCTTTCAGAAATAGGAGTGTTAATAGTTTACAGTATTGTTATCGTTTTGCAAAATTAGTAAAAACAAAGTAAATGAACAGAAGAGAAATCCAAATCAAAAATCAATAACACTTTTATTGGAGAACAATATCCAATTACATAAAAACCAAGGAAGTAGCATAGAAAGATAGCCTAGCTGACAGAAAACCTGTACAAATACATAAAAATTGATAAATTCATTATTTAATATATTGTGCAGTAACCTATAAATTCTGCACTGCTGCTAAAAAATTTTTTCACAAATTGTTTCAAGTAATTAAAAATAACATGAAAATTAATCTCAGGTTTTAAACTTTTTACATCCCAATCTTACCTCTAGATGGAGTAGATTAGTCTAACTTGCATTTGCATGACTACAAAATATAAATGGTTATATATCGTAACAATTTAGGCAGACAGAGAATACAATGCAACAAATGTAAACTGTAAGTTATGTGTCAAATATCTGGAAGAATACAAAACACTTTTATACATCTGATTATTACATGAATTAGAAAAGGTATCAGAATTGTTATAAAATAGTGTGTACATTTAGTTCTTCAGGGGATCTTCCTAGAAAGAAAAAATGCTGGCTTTTAATAAAAGGACACTTACCTTAACAGGGATGCAGCATTGTCCTCACCTGGGATGGTTCTTTGCTGGTCTTTGGGACCCAGTTGGAAGCCGGCTATGACTCCCTGCTGCCTCACAGCCAGCTTCCCATTGCACATATGAGCCATGCTGCGCTTTGTGAATGGTCCCACAGCCTTCTGGGACTTGTGAAGCATCTCAGAAGGCTGCTGGCAAAGAGAGGGGGGATAAACTTTAAAGTGGGAGCGGGGGGTACCTACTGTATCAAAACTAAATATGCACTCTCCCAAAAAACTTTAATGTGCAAAAGTAGGTGTGGGTGGGGGGGGCGGGGGGGGGGTGGCGCATAAAGCAGAACTTCATTTTTAGGGTGCAGTTCTACTTTAAGATCATTAGGTACCAAAGTATTTAGTTTATAGATCCATTAAATTGTTTGGTTACACAATTTACAAAATCTTTCAGATTTTCAAATCTGACAATTAAATGGAATACTCTGGGTATTTGCTATAGAGACCATTCCTGCTTATCTTCTTGTATCTGTCATTTATTCATTTAGCCACTAGTCAGCTGTTGGAGTGAAGCATATTACTATGCCAATGGTCTATGGATTTATTGAACTTGAATTCACAGAACTCTTTTCATGCTATCTGAGCATTTATTAGGTCTTTGTATAGGAGTTATTTTTTTATACATTTGTCTTCACTTTGGTTTCCTCTGAGGGATTTGAGTTGAAGTAACTTTTGATTGATTCATACAGTTATTTGTGTGCCAAGGATCTGTTATTTTTAATCTATTATTCATGTGGTGCTCCCACAGAGCTTTGTGGTAGAAATTCATGTCTTCTCATGCATGTGGTACCCAAATGACTGGTATGTTTACTGTGTTCTGTTGGCAGCAGCTATGTTAAAAATGGGGCTATGTGGAATGGCCTGACGGATAGCAGTGGCATGAATACGTGGGGCTGTTCCATTTGGAGAAATACTACAGCTGCCCATGCCCCTGGAAAAAATTCAGCCCCACTTTTGTTATTCCTCTCCATTATATTCTTCCTCCACAAATAGTTACCAAGGTCTGACACCTTGTCATCCCCAACCTTCTCATTGCTGAAGTCCACTTGGCAAAAGGCTGGAGGAACATCAATGTCAATTATTTCTCTCTTCCTGTTGCCATACCCTCTGTGCTCCTTATGCTTTTCTTCCCTAACATACGATAACACAAATTCTTGAACATTCTCCTGCATCAAGTGACTCATGTTGTGCTGAAAAAATTCAGTCAATTCCGCCATGCCAGTTTTTGCAGGGTAATTGTAGGATTAGTTGTAGAGGAGGAGGAAGGAGAGGAGCAATGGAGGGATTAGCTGTAGAGGAGGAGGAGGAAGGTTGAGGGCACATTTGCAGCTCCTGGGGAAAATGTGCTGCTATGTGCTTGGAAAGAAGAGGATGAGAAAAGGCTTGGTTATCCACTCTACAGCAAAAATCCATGCACTCTGCCTGGAAAGCATACCCAGTGCCAGAAAGATAAGGCAAACATACCCTGCCTTTCAAAAGAGTGGCCCAACCGTTTTGTCCTGCAGATGCAGAAACTGCTACTTCCTGTCTCCTAGACATGATGTAAACAGGAAATTGATTAACTATGTTAGGAACTATGGCAATAGGGGGGATTGAGAATGTGGTGCTTGGTGCACTTAACAATGTGGTGATTTGGGGCTTAAAACTGTACTGCACTAGTATGCAGTGATGTGCTGCAAACAAAGGGCATCTTTGTCTGTGTCAGCAGCAAGTTCACGCTGCTGTCCTCCCAACAACAAATTAAAAGACCCTGCAAAATGATATTGAAATAAAATATACCTACCTAAAAACAAATAAAATAAAACCTAAAATGTTAAACTACATTGCTAATACACTAAATGCCAAATACCCACCATAAAACATTATACATACTGTATATACTGTAAAAAAAATGTAAAATAAAAAACATATATAAAACATGAAATAAAATTAAATTAACCAGTTAAGGACAAAGGTCCAAATAAACCAACCAAAGGGCAATCCATTGAGATGACCATGTCACAGAGGTGGTGGAAGTCACACTAAATTGCACTAATGAATCATGAATTTTTGATGGATTATTTTACATGCAATGGGCTTTTATATAGACATTGATTTCAGATACATACTTTTTTAGTGGTGCACTAACTTTTGGGACACTTTATCAATATTGAATTTTTCACAACTGCTACTTTTGAATTTTCATGTGAATGCACAATTTGAAAAAAGTCTCTTGATCTACTCTGTGCCATGTAAAGCATTGTGAAATGACGTACATCTAGATGTCTTTCATGCTATCCCAACCCATGCCGTTTAGGAGATTTCGCCAGAATTTTGTTGGCATGATGTCACTGTTGCATGCCCATTTTGTCTTCAATTTCTGGCATGCTCATTGTGCCAGCAGTCTCTTCATGGGGGGCTTGTGCGTGTGCTGTGCCTCCATCATAGCACTTCACAGCATTGCATAGCATTACCCTGAGATTTCAGACCAATAACTATTATTGATCACTGCACATACGCAAGATTATCTCGCAGACACCAAAGAAAAGATAGAATTAGACCAGTATATGGAATTGGACACTGCAAACATGGTGCCAGCTTCAGCCAGAACACAGGAACAAGAAGTCAAGCAGAAAATATAGTAAGAAACATGCTATGGTAATAACTACTACTGAGGTATGAGGAGAAATAGTTAACATAGCGGTCTTATGATTTATGAGGATTTGTTTGCTGGGGTTTACTGCTTTAAGAATACTGATTTCAGATATATAGATAATTGTGGTACAATTTTATTTTATTATATTGTCAAAAGGTGGTGTTTACCATTTAAAGTTCCAGCAGATGATTAGTTGCAGGACAGGTCCACAACACATGGTTTACATGATTTCAAAAGCCCCACTTGCCCCACACTGCAATGCTAAACCATATGGGGATCACTAATAGGTTGGACCAATCCCCCCCAAAAGAGGGGAAGCCTGGAGTTCCATTGGAAGAGCCTTGTAATTTAGAACGGGACAGGATTTAACTGGGGGTCAAAACGTGATCACTGCACTATCCTCAGTCCATCAGAGCAGCTGATATCTGTTTTGATACAAATGAAAGGCAAGTTTCATCTGTAATACAAAACTTGAGCAATCCAATCTTTTGTGTTTCTCATCAGTGATGCTATTCCATATACCTCCTTTTTGTGTGCAAATCACTTGTAAAGCACACACCAACACAGATAAACCACTCACCGGAAAAAAGTACCCTACATCCTTTTATATCTTCCAATTCAAATCATGTACAACTATGTCAAAAGAGTAAAAGACTCCAGGAGTTTAAATCCCTTTTAAAACATTTTTTGAAACATAAAACCTAAATACACTCACTGTTTCATGTACCTCGTACAGCTTGATAAAGTCATTCTGAAGGAACGTGTTGGAAGACTCAGCTGCACCATGCACAGAATTGTCTCCCAGTCTTAGTGGACTGTGAGGATATAACTCCAGTCTTGTATGAGGCACATGAAAAAGTGAGTGTATTTGGGTTATACTGTACCCCAAAAATTATGTAGAGGTTTTCAGGGGGGACTTAAACTCTAGAAGCCACTTTTATAGTAAGAAGGCCCCCAGGGCAATGAGTATGGGGTACCATAGTCATTACTCATTCCCAGAACAAAGTAAAATGTAAATAAACATACACACATTTACCTATTACCCCGAGTGAGGGGACCTGATATCTGCCCCCCCCTACAAGCCCCCTTATCCCTTTTGGGGGACAAGATGTGGAGATGAGGCCCTTATCCCTCAGCAAAGGGACAAGAGGAGCTTTTGCAAAATGGGGACAAGGGCCTCATACCCACATCCCTTTTCCCCAAAAGGGATGTGAAGTTATTTATAAGAAGGGGGGTCCCGAGATATCCAGCCCCCACCTAGGAGAATGAGTATAGGCTACATTATATCATATTTGGACATCAAACACACTCATGGTCCCCAGCTGCACTTTTCAATATAGCAGCTTGGGATTTATGCAGGCAAACTGGCCAAATGACCATTTTGTTCAGCAGTTTCAGCTTCAGTAAAGATTTAATTGCTTCTACTGTGAACTTTTAGGCTCCATGCACATTGGGCTTAAAAAAAATGCCAGCTCCTATGGCAGAAAAAATGCAGATATAGAACATTTTTCGTACA